TTTTATAACAAAGTTAAATTATTAATCAAAATTTGCCATAAATTAAAGTCTTAAATAAATAAAAAATAAAAATAAATAAATGAAGTTAAACCAAAGAAAAGCCTTTGGAAATAATTATAAAGAAATGATCGACTAGTTTTCTAATATAAATTTGATTAAAGTTGAAATACTTTGAGTTCTCTCAATTAATTTCCATGTCGACTTTCGTTGACTTGGGTTGGCTTTATTATTATTATTATTATTATTATATGAAAATGTTATTAAATATACTATCCCAGAGGGATACAAACATTAGGACAATTGACATCCGTATAATGTGCATATATTTGCGTACACCTGTTCCTCGATACAAATGGGATGGCACACTTGCACAATTAGGAGAAGTTGCCGTGTTTACATGTAGACATTATTTTATTTGGTCAGTTGGCCGCTTTGTGAATACTACTGCTCGGCGATGGCTAATTAGTATAATTGACTATATAAGCGAGTGCGCTGGCTACAGGGCTCCATGCCGCCAACTGGTTTTGATTCGAATTGTTGCACGAAGCGTGGCAAATTGTGTGGAAGTGGCACTAAAAAGGCAATTAAAACGCAAATGCGAACACGGTTACCCATGGAATTGAAGTTGGCGCAGTGGCACGGTTTACACATGCTGGAGCATACTTTCGGGCACACAAAAGCAGCGCGAAAAAATATAAATTAAATAAACTAATTACGTTGTGAATGGCAGGCTGGCAGGCTGACGGGCTGCCTGACGGACTGGCTGACGGGCAGGCCATCAGTATGGGCCAAGGGAGTCAGCTCAGACCAGACCACATAAATGAGCTTTTGATTTGCCGACTGAGTACAAAAATAAGCGGGCTAATGAACACAAACAAAATATGTACAAAGTCAGACCAGAGCACTGCGGACACGCCAAAAGCCGACACATGCCAAACTCATGCCTGGCTAATCAACAACAGCAACAGCAACAGCAACAGCGACAGCAATTCCAACAATACCAGGCACGTTGTCCCAGCGGAGTTGGCCAAGGGCCCATCAGAAGCAGAGCCATTGACAGACACTGTGGCATTCAGGAGCGCAGCTTTGATTACTTTGCGATACGCACTCTGGTTATTATTATTATTATGGCTGTCGCCGTAGCTCCGAAAAGTTCATGTCATATCAAGAGAAATTGTTTCAAAAATTTCCACAAGTGGCTGATAAAATTTGATGGGCATTTGGAGAGGTCGCTGGGACGTGGCCGAGCGTGGTTCAGTGGCCGCATGATAATGTTTGCTTTGTTTCGACGATGTCACGTATGTGTGCGAGTGACTGAGTGTGTGTGTGTGCGCTGTATCGATTGCCATGACAAAGGACATATGCGTGAGTAATGAGGACATTTGCTGTCGAAATTATGCATACGACACATTAGCCGCAGGTCAAGTTGAGTGCAATCAATGCAATTAGTTGGGCAGCCAGCCAGTCAAGCAATCTGTCCCACTCCGCATCAGAGCCTCGGGCGTTGCATTTGATATAAGCGTAACTGTTGAATAAGTTACGAGTAAATTTTCATCAAGTTGTCAGTTATTACATGAAATCACAAAGTACGATAAATAAATATGGCTCGTAGCTAAAAAACTCTTTTCCTTCAATTCCGTACGCTCAAGGGCTGTCTCGCGCTCTGTCGCTTACCCCACACTGAATACTTTGGCTCAGCCGTAAGTTATGAATGGAAATTTATTTTCATTTACATTAAGCTCCTTTATTTGCCAATGCTGCTTTAAGCCCGTAGTGCCGTTAGTCCCTCGTGCATTGGCACAACTTTGTGCAGTTATATTCGAGCATTTATGTTGCTTTCGCAGATCTCGTTTTTAATTACGCTTCCGCCACGTCCCACAAGGACCAGCGTAAACACGAGCATCACTACGCAGCATGCACATGGCAGCTCGTCCCCTTCTTCGAGCTGGCTGCTAGTGACATTCGCTTGTGGCATTTCAATAAACCATTCTATTATTTGCAGTTTTACAGCTTAACGCGCGTTTTAATTGTCGCTGCAAAAAGTTCGTGCAACTTGTTGCAAAGTTAAATTGCATTCCATTTGTGTTTTTATATTTTCATTTTCATTTCCATTTAATTTTTTATTCATCATTTGTCCGCGCTTGCGGCATATATGTACGCCGCATGCCATTAAATGAAATACTCCAAATACAATGAACGAACTGACACAGTGTCTCGCATTCGAATTGAGGCAGTTGCTCAATCAATGCCACAGACAGCCTAGCAACAACACAAGTGTTACGAAACACGGGTTTAATAATACGCCGTATATATGTATGTATATATATTTCCGTTTGATTGCAGGTGACATGGCTCAAGGTTGAGAAGGGCAAGTTCTTCGAGTTCATAAACGGACGCAATCCGCCGTTTCGTAACTCAACCATCGAAGGAGCCGAAATTGATGTAAGTAATCAGAAATTGACGTGAGATGGCGAGAGGACATGTGGTTAATTTCGACTTGAATAAATAAGTATATAATGACTCTATTTACAATCCCCATTTATATTATACGAATTATTGAGTGGTTGAAGGCTAAAATGTCAGTAATAATCATTTTATATAATATTATCGCTTTCAATGTTTTTTCAACATAATTATTAGCGTTATATAAGCTGTAGTATCAACTATGACGTTGTGGAAAATCAAACTTGGTTTTCTCTTTAATTATACCATTTTGCAGTTCCACTTAGTTATTATAGATTTTAATTCAGGGGTGAAGCGTATAACAGAAGCACGTTAGTTACATAATATATTGGATTAAAATGTTATTATTAAAAGCATACCAATTTAAAATAATAATACAAATTAGGCATGAAAAACCATCATACCCGGATTTCCCCATTTTCAATGGGTTCAGGGTATAAAAACGAGATATGTTTTTATATTCATATGTAAAACCTATAGAAATGTTTTCATTTCATTAGACTATTTATGTCTCATTAATTTTAATTAATTTTTATTCAACCATCAAAGCCAATCTGTCCATAACTGTTAATAATGGAATCAATAACGCTGTAAATAAAGTTCGACTCAGGCCCATTACAGGTCATAATATAATTCGATGCTCATACCAAAAATACGTTATAAAATTATTAGCTGAACGTAACGGCAGTTTGTGGAATTAAATTAATTATCATGCACTTATGCACATTGCATCGAACATTAAGAGTGATTGACTAATTAATCATTTAATAAATTTGTAAGAGTATATAGGTTATGGAATTATTTATTGTTTGAGCGCAGTCACAAATTAAATTTGATGTTTTGTTGATTTAACAGACTGAAAACCAACAGATTTGTCGGCATTATTACTACAATATAATGTCCAATCAATTTAGATGTCATAGATAAGTTTATATGGGTTTTCAAAACCGATAGGTTAACATAGGGAAATTCAATATTAATATGCATAAATAATATATATGCATACATATATGCTGTTAATTAACATCGGCGAACAGAGTATCTGGCAGTTGTACATACCCGTTCTAACATGTTTCCAATTTATAATGAATGCATTTTGCTTCCCTTATTGAACAGTGGGAGAACTCGAACGAAACGCAAGTGACATTGAAGGATGTGCAGTTCGATTTGTCAGGCCAGTTCTACTGTGAGGTATCAACGGACACGCCCATCTTTACCAAGGCCAGCGCCGACGAGCTAATGAGCGTTTTCTGTGCGTAGCAAATGCCAAACTAATTCGAGTTAACTGACACTAATTGCTACCCCTATCTCGTAATGCCCTTACAGTGCCTCAGACAGGACCGCCCACCATCAAGTTTCGAAAGCGCACTCCCTTCGCCATAGGCGAGAAGCTGTTCGCACTGTGCAACACCACTCGAGGGCGGCCCGCCCCGCATGTGACGTGGCTAATCAATGGCAAAAAGGTGCGTATGCGTAATTTCAACTATTTATCCAGCAAACTGCACAATAGTCGGCTAATCGTTCACAGTTAAATTGTTCTGGCGATAGACGGAATCGCTACAGTTGCGGGTGGCGGTGGTGTTAGAGCTGCAGCATGCGCCTGTATGTAGATGTGGAATGGCTGTCAGGGGACGCCGGAATGTCAGTGGGGCTGCATTAAGATTAACATCAGTTTAAGCCATTTTATAATTATGGCCTACATGCGCGGCTCATGGAGCTTTCATTTTAATTACCCAGAGCAAGGCCCCGAAACCCAGCTCCTGTGTGGGTCAGCCGCAGCATGCGCAGCAGCACCACCAGCATCAGCAGCTGCTGCTACTCGCCAACAAGAACAACAACAACAACAACTGTAGTTAAGGGAAAAGGAAATGAAATATAAATAAATTTATTATATCTGCCGTTGGCGCACAGAATATGGTAAACTCTAAAATGAAATTTATTCATAAACGCTCGGCCCGGCCACCATCTGACCAGGCGTCGTGGGCCCAGGGGCGTCCAGATGTCGTGATGAGGGTATGGGGCTTTGCCCGTATGATTCATTTTTAATTTACAGTTGTATCCAAAAGTTTGACATTGAAATGACTTTCATTCGCACTCGATTACATACTGCGACCCAAAAATTTCATGGCATTTCTAACTCTATTCGGACAGGTCGAGGAGAAATACATCCGCACACATCACGTTCACTCGTTCAACGGCAAGCATCAGCGTCGCACACAGCAGCAGCCGACGTCTCTGACTCAGCAACAGCTGCAGCACTACTACCAGCAGCAGTACTACAACCAGTATCAGCCTCAGTACCACGTGCCCCACTACATAGATCGCTACGACAAGAGCCTACGCTGGGGCGGCTCCCGTCCGATTGGTAAGTAGACCGTAGATGGCTAGTTGAGATTTATTTAAATTAGGAATGATCTAATATGAATATATAAGACTCTGCAGCAGAATGAAGAACTACTATTGTGATAGTATTTGTCAGTAGGAATAAATATCTTTTATCTAGAAGATCAGATAGTTTTTTTTTTTCAATTTAAGAAATGTATACAGGGTATTCTTTAGTGAGTCCTCATTTAGTTAACGGCACACAGAAAGTGCAATTAAGCAATTGTTTTCAGTTTGTCATTGAGTGCGGCGCCAGCTGCTGCAACGTTTACTTTAATTAGGACAATTTTGAATCTCGCTTTGCTGTTGCCATTGCAGATGAGTTCTCGCAGTATGCGCCACATCACGGCCACGACGGACACGGACATCATGGCAGCCTTGGCAACATACACAACAATCCGTTCGGCATGCTGGCCAATTATCATGACATCGGTGAGATACACGAGATACATCAGCGCAACTACGATATCAGCAAGAAGCAGATGGAGCTCAAGAAGCAGCAGATGGAGTTGAAGAAGCACAGGTTAGTCTACACCGGGCCCATTAATCAACCCGATCCTTCCCCCGAGGATGCTTGGCATAAGCTGAATTTTATTTATGAGCCTGGCAAATTAAAACGCAGCAACTTTAGCCGTCAGCTAAGCAGACGTCGAGCTGTTGCTAAAAGTATGCAATGTGCAAAGTTGTTCACCCATGCTCCACCACAACCGCCTCAGTCCATCGTGACAGCTGTTCAGTGCCAGTGCCAGTGCCCAGCACAAAGTTTTCATATTCTTATCAATTTCCCAGGTTGCGTGTGTGGCGTGTTTATTAAAGTTTTCTTATCTATGGTCTAAAAGGATTTGGCTTATGCATGTGCCGCGATGTTGGCACATTGTTAAAGCCGCCAGCCAGCCAGACGGACAGCCTGTTCTTATCCTCAGATCCTTTAGCCTTTTATTGTTGCGCGTATACAAAAAATACCGACCCCTGCGCCCCCTGCTGCCTGCTGGAAATGTTTATGTGGTGCGATTGGAAGTGAAACGTAAATGAATGCAATAAATTATTTACGCTCACCTGTGATATTAAAAATCAAGAAGGAAAACTTTTCCAATATACCAACTTTTTTAGCTCAACTTTCAAAGCCAGGGGCGTGCGTGTGTGTGTGTATGTGTGGGTGGGTGTGGGTTCGTGGTGCTAGTTTAATGACAGGCAGCGCCACAATTCCTACCTGCTGCTGCCGCTCTTTGAAGTTGTGAGGTCGTGCGTCGCACTCACACACACACATTTACTACAMATAAGCCACGTGGCAGGCATTTACATGGGCCGCCAGCAAAGTGGCCCTGACATAAAGTGCAATGGCAAAGCCGTAAGCCAGGCCAAGACAGGCGTAAGACAATAACGCAAATGCGGCGTGTTTTGGGATTGTACTGTCATCTTAGCTGGCGCAGCTACATACTTCAGGCAGACTGTCTGGCGTTTTGCAGTTGGTTTTAATTAGGCTACCTGGAAACCCAAATTGTAACATATTGAACTCACAGGGTTTTTCCGAGTAGATTCTAGCCAGCCCTGAAAAGCTTTTAGCCCAATTGCCAGCCAATGTTGCCTTCACCTACGAATTCGCCATTTCCCAATTGTGTGTACTCTGCGATTATGTATGCGCATGTATCTGTTAATACTTGGAAACGCTAGTGGGTTAATTTATCCCTAAGTGGAAACCATGATTAGCTATTGCGCCATTTCCTTGCCAGCTAATTGCATTGGCAACGCGCAAAGGCAAAAACATTTTATAAATAATTTGTCGCATTTCAAAATGCGGCGCGTGCGACTGTGTATATGTGTGCGTGGGCGTATGTGTGTGTGTGTGCCTGTGTGAAAAACTAATTTTGCTGAAAACTTAACGTTAATAAGCAATAATTTATATCCAAAGTGCACGAGACCGCTCCCGGAAGAGCATAAGCCAGGTGGCACGGGTGCAAGTGAACTGCGCTGTGCCTGACCTGCAACATTTAAGGCCTTGAAGCTATAGTGTGGGCACAGGGTGCTCGAGTACAGGGTGCCGACTAAATAAAAAGTTAAGTGAAAGTAAGGAGAAAACAAAATAGGCTTGTCTATATTTTGTCATGTTTCACATATCCATTTCCTTAGTCATGTTTAGGCGAGGCACCCTGTATTGGCACCCTGTATGGGTTTTATTCATGGCGTCTGTTACAGGCTGCGCACTATTTACGTATGTGTGTACGATTGTGGGCGTAATTGCAGACGCGCCCACTATTAAAACTTGGCGCATATTTATGCAACACTCCAGCACGAAGTAAAAAACTATAAAAAATGCGCAAGCAGCAGCAGCAACAAAAGCAACAACAACAACAGCAACAAGCAACAACCAGCAACAGAAGGTAGCGAGTAACGGTCACGTTTATGTTTGCAGTAGCGTGCATAAATTTCTCTTTGCGTATAGGTGTATGTGTGTGTGCGTGGGTGTGTGGTTGTGTGGGTGTGTGACTGTGTGGCTGTGTGTAGGTGTGTGGGGCGTGACGTACACTGGAATGTTTATTAAGTTCATGCTTAATACACTGCGCCACATACATGCCTTACTCTCTCTCTCTCTCTTTCTCCCTCTCTCTCTCTTTCTTTCACTCTCTCACTCTCATCCCCACTCCCTCTCTTTGTATTGCTATGCATGTGATTTTATGCAAATAGAATGTCAATGTTTGCTATAAAGTGCCGAACTCCCGAACTGCATTAAGTATGCGCCATGTGCGCCGCCGGGCATGCAACGTAATTAACCACTAAATTTGATTAAATTATTGCCAAATACAATCAAGGCTAAGAGCAACACAAATTAACTGCTCATTGTTGTGTGTCGCTCTATTAAACAGCCTTGTGGATGGGCGCCATTTGGTTAAGAGTTCTGCTCAGCTGCTTCAGCTGCAACGGAATGCCCTTAAAGCGTACCGAAGAATCTAAAGAATTGTTGCAATAAAAACACAGCACAACAACAAGAAAAACAACAAGAGCAGCAGCTGAAACAGTGGCATAGCCATAAAAGGCATAACACGTAGTGCTGAATGTGCACTTGAGCGACAGGGCAGAGGACTGGTGGGGGAGAGGGGGATGGGCGTAGCATCGGCAGCTAGAAAAGGGTGTCCGTGCACAGGAAACTCAGCCAGGCAAAGGCATATGAATGGGGCATTTTATGCAGTCAAAAAGTAGTTTACACGTTGTTGCACAATTTATGTTTGTGCAACACGTAAGACCATTGTGCCAGGCACAAGCCTCTGGAGATAAATGTAGACATACATACATACATACATATGTATGTAGGTTTAGGGTTTCGTGCGTGCTGCTGCTGAATACCTTGAACCTTTTGTGCCGTCTCTATCTATAATCTGGCTTGCGTAACTTTAAAAACGAAGAAAGAAAACCGGAGAAACAGCATTCGTTTATTTGTTTGACAAAAATTTCGTTTCAATTTTGCTCGATGGGCGTAAAAACGATTTAAGTCAATTGAAGAAAAAATCAATTTCAAAAGTTTTTAAACGAAGAACTTACACTTAATCTTATTTCGGTATGTACGTATATATAAAAGTGAATATTTACATTTGACAAAATCTTTGCCAATCAAAAGAGAGATGACACAAATATCAAATTGTTTGAATTGCTGAATTGAATGAATGTTATTTATTTATTGAAGAAAAATTATATTTTTGCCAAAAACGATTTCGAATTTAAATGAGAACGTAATCATTTATTGCAATGCCTCCATGGAATTAAATAATTACTAAAAACTAAACAAAACGCATAATAATAACAATGACAATAAAATAAAATATTCTTGAGAATGCCCATATTCTACTTTGTAACTATTTCTATGGCAAATTCCGCATACTTGGTCTCTTTATTGTTATTGTGTGTTGGATTTTTTTGCTCCGTTTTTGCTCTTGCCTCGCTGCGAGCGAACTACAAAGGCGCGCCCTTAAATGCAGCTTGTAATTTTCATTTAATTTTCAGTGTGGTTTCGTTTCTTTGTTTTTCGTCTTTCGCTTTTCGCTTTTCGCTGTTCGTGCGCTGAAAATGTTACCGAGTTGACCCTCCAAAAGGGCGGCCATTAAATGTCGCGACTCGCGCCAACTTGAGGCCCAAGAAATTGGCTGTAGCTATGTCTGAGCAGCCGGCAGTATGGATGTAATTAGCTGGTCTCCGGCTCTGATCGCGTGTGTGGCAGTAATCCTTCTGGGTGGGTCCGCAGAAGCCGTGGCGAACGTGTCATAAACCGGGGCACTAATGCTGAACAGGGGAGTGCGGGGAGCAAGGACTAGGACTGGGACTCCCCCCAGAAGAAAGGCCAGTTTTAAGTGAGGCCAATGCCAGTGCGCTTTCAGTTCTAATTGCTGGTGGTGTGGCGGCGTGTGGGGCAGGGATAAGTGCTTACTGATACCAGCTACAAGACGCTGAAATGGTGTACTCCATTAATCACAATGAGCGGCAACAAAAGCAACACAACGAGCGTACATTAAAATTAAATTTGTATTTTATAACGAACGTTAGGGCGAAAAACTTAGCAGTACAATTTGGCTAATTTGCTGCAGCACGAGCGACTGCCACGCCTACTTAACCTTGTTAATAGGCAAATAGGTGGAGCTAGGCGAACCGCCTGCTGGCGGCAAGTAGGCAGCATTCGGCTCGATCTCCGACACGATTGAGGCTGCATTCCCATTGCCTTGTGACTCAAGGCTGACAGCTCCCGCTTGGCGTTCGTTCAGCAGCTGCAGCGGCTGCTGAGCCACCTGCCTGGAGGAAAAGTCAAGCACTGGCGCAATGCCCGCATTGTGAGACGTTGAGCTGCCGCCCAGGCGATCGTACTCCTGCTGAATGGTGCGCTGCGCATTAATGGCATCCTCTGGAGTACGGTATTTGACGAAGTGCACTTCCGGCTTCCTGGCGTTGATGCTATTGAGGTTCTGCAGCTTATTGGCCAGGCTGGTGAGATCGCCCTGCTTGGTGAGCACGTAAATGGCCGTCTGCTGCTCGGCCGCTTGCTTGGCCAGCGCCACGGCTGCGTTCTCCAGACCCTTGTTCTCCGGCGCACGAATGAAGAGCACGCGCAGATTTCTCTTCAGCGAGGCGGCCAAGTCGCCGACACTGCGGTTATCCTCAAAGTCCGACTCGGGTGCAGAATATGTGAAAAACTCCTTGTTGAACTCTGTATTCCCGTTGGAGTAGTCCGGCTGTTGGCTGTTAATTCCATAGTCAGCAACTGAGCCACCGGTTAGAGAACCACTGGTTAAAGAGCCACCGGTTAATGAGCCACCGTTTAGTGAGCCACCGGTTAGAGAGCCACCGGTTAGCGAACCATCCGTCAGCGAGCCGCCAGCTAATGAGCCTCCGTTCGATAAATTGTCAATGCCCAATCCATAATTATATCCACCCGCGTCTGCACTGGCCGTTGCCAGCAAAGCCAACATCTGTCATTGCAAGATATACGAATTGAAAATCAATGAAACTTAAGTGAAAAGTTCTCACGGGGAACTTACAATAAAT